AAAAAAAAAAAAAAAGAGTGCAATAGTGTCAAAGGACTTTTACGCTGAGGTCACGGGTCCTCCTTTCTGCCTTCCTTAAAGACATTACTGATAAGTTCTGGAGACCCTAACAGAATCCAGTGCCCCCCCACATGCTGAGCCCTGGGTGGAGTAGTGCAAAGTTCACCGGTCAGTTGGCTTCACTGTGGAGAGCATGGCATGAGAGGTGACTGTGCGTGTGTCCTAGGAAACCAAATAGGACAACGGTGATGTTGCTGGCAGGCTGGGTCTGGAGGCTCCCTCCCTAGGCCACAAGTATCTGAGCGATATCTGTCTGGCGCACAGAGTGGGAGGCTGTGCAGTAGTGGGGACAACACAGACTGGGCATTGGACCCTGCACCTGGATGGTCACAGCCCTGGTGCCTCCTCGGCGTAGGGAGTTCACTCTGGGGAGGGGACAGGCTCACCCGTGACTGGGGGCCAAAATGGAAAGTGTGTCCTCTGCTTCTGGGTCCTAAGGCACTTGGGCAGGCTGCCTGCTGCTGCTGCTGGTTAACAGGTCCTTTGGACAAAAGTCCAGAGACAAAGAGGACCTAACTGCTGGTGTCCTGCAGGATGGCAGAGACACAGACAGATCAGACCAGCCTGGCAGGGTGGCAGGGGCACTGCTGAAGTCTCTATCTGACAATTTGTCCACCAGGTGTACAGAAAGAGAATGCATCTCTAGGTCCACACGTTTGAGACCAAAAACCATAATCAACACTGCCTCCCAATTGGATGGAGGTTGGAAAGTTGATCTTGAAGGCTAAAACTAGAGGAAAAAGGAGAGCTAACTATCTTTGTTAAGAAAGAAAATCTGTCAAGAAATCTGAGAGTTAAGTTCTACTGGCTGGTGGGAGACCTGGCACTGGGGGGTGTTCAAAGGATAAAGCATCACATTTAAAAGGCAGCACAGGAAAAGACAAAGGAGCTACTGAAGAAGGCCCCGAGGAACATTTAGAAATCATTTCTGCTCGGCCCTAAAATCACTACCCAGCCTCCAGGCAGCCTGAGTCCTTCAGGAATGAGAGGAACAGAAGGAAGCAGGGGGGAAGAGAAGGTTTTGTCCTGACCCTGCTACCCCAGTCCTAACTTACTACATCCAGACGGGGCCCCGGGGCCCAGTTCCCTGGGATCCCCACAGGAGTCTGGGAATGGGTTTTGTCACCAACGACCTGGGACCACGAGGACCGTGAACTGAAAAAAACAACGTGACGGCTGCATTTTCATAGCTTATCAAACTGGTCTTAAAAATCCTCAATCTTCTGATTAAAAAGCAGCCTGTTGTTTCTTCAGATTCAGGAAACAGAAGTGATACTGTCCAAATAAATATTCTGCTGCATTTTAAATACCTAACCTTTGGCTACATCTAGATTTATAGGATTATAAAAGTTGTTAAAAAGTGCTAATTAGTTTTCCCCATCAGGAGGGAGCACAACAGTCAAAAGCGGTGGGAGGTTGGAAGGGAACAGACCACGTATCTTGAGGTTACCCGTTAATTAAATGGCAAGTTACGCACGTGATATAAAGAAATGTGCACTGATTGCACTGGGCGAGTTCGAATCAGGTGGTGGCTTGTGATTGTCCGTAATTTCCTGGGTCCTGAGCACCAGCACTGGAAGAGCAGGTGCGCTCTCTGAGCACTGGCTGCCGGGAGGGCCACGGCGGGACACGTTTCCCTTCTCCAAGGCTGAACGGTGCAAATTCGAGCTGCTCCCTCTCCTCCTCCGTAGTGCTGCCGGCGTTCAACATCCCTGCTGTCGCAGACTGCCGGGCCTCAGTACATGTCCTTGTAGATCTCCTGCAGCAGCGGGTGTAGCGCGGCGTCTGATTCGGTCTTCTTAATGACCTGCACGAGCTGTGCGTGCTCTGTTACCAGCTGCCGCAAGTCTGCCAGCTTCTGGAGGAGTTTGGGGAAGAGGAAAGTGTCGTCGGGGTGGTTGCTTTGCAAGTGGAGTTTGAGCACGTGCACAATGCCCTCCTGCATTTTCTCAATGTAGTCTATGTTTAGAAGGCCGGGCCGATCTATTCTCAAAAGAAGAAAGAGATGTTTGCGTGTGAGAATTACTGGTACCTGCTCAACTGCCTGAGGCACCCAGGCCCAGTGGCCTTCCGATGTCATGAACTTCATCGAGGACAGACTTTCCCCAAGTCCTGAGCCTAACAGGGACAGTTGGGGACTGAAACTCCTTCCTAGACTCACAGCGCCCCTTTCCACCCACGGCAGTGTGGCCTCTGGTTTGGATTTGCTTGAGCACCACTGTCAGGGGAAAACCCAAATATCAGCCAGAGCTTGGTGACATTCTGGTGACGTTTCAACCGTTTCCTGGAACAAAGGAAAGGAAGGAAGGTCTTCCCGGGTCACAGCCAGATGCTACAAGCTTCCTGCTGCATCGAAGGAGTGTGACACGCGTGCTGTTCCAAGGGCCTTCCGATATGGTTGACAAGGGAGAGTGGGGTGAGGACGACGGTCTGGGGGGACACTGGCTGGCCAGGATGCATGGCGCCCTGGAGCAGGGAGCAGGAAGGCACAGAAGCACCAGCGAACACACTGGGCGGCCTCCCTGGGACAGGCTCAGGCCATGGGTCCCAGCCCTCAGTCCAACGAATCCTGCCTTGACACACATCGGGTGCAGCCCCTCCTTAAAGCCCATCTCACTGTTAGTGCTGCTGTTGTGGACTTTTTCATCTGGTTTTATGGTTGTAAAATGAATACAATCGTGTGACTTTTAAACAGAAATTTTTAAAAAGACGCAAAGACCCTCCTGGTCATTTCCACCCTGCACAACAGGCTTCCTGTCCGTCTCACTGGGCATTGCTACATGAACAAGACTTTGCATGCTTGGAGTTTCTCTGGAGAAGCCGTGATACGCTGCACACAAAGAGCTGCAGGTGCTTCCTGCTCTCCGTGCTACATTCTGTCCCTATGAAAGGACAATGACAGACTATGCCCACAGCTCTGCCCTTTACATGGTGCGCCGGGGCAGAAGGGCCTCTTCCAGCTGACTGTGCCCAGCCAGGTGGCCGCAGGATGGAGAGTGAGTGGTCAGGAGGACAGCGTGGCTTCTGGCAGGTGGCAGGCTGGGGGCCGTCACTCCTTGGTCTCTGCCGTGGCTGGGCAAGGTCGGCCGGGTTTACAGTAGGCAGGTGACCTTCCTAGACCCAGGGCAGGGCTATTTAAGGAAGGTGCGACTAGGCCAAAATTCTGGTGCTGCGCCCAGCTGCACAGAGAGGCCTGGTGCTTCCTCCTGGGATCCGTTTCCCCGGTAGAACGGAACGTGCGGTCACTGCCCTTCAGCTGCCAGTGTTCTTTATTGTGAGACGGTGTCAGTGTCACCAGTAGCGACAGCAGCTGTGCTAACATCTGTGTGGCACTTCACAGAATAGGATGTATAGTGTGGATATAACATAATTATATAATTACAATGTTAGATGAGACTAACATTATATATCGTAATACTAATTATATAATATGCTAATTAAATCAGGTATTATATTAAAAGGAGTACAGCATAATCATAAATATATTAACATAATTATTTCTTTTGTGGTACTGGGGAATGAATCCAGGGTCTTTGCACAGAGCTATATATCCCCAGTTCTTTTTTTCCAGTTTTTATTTGGAGATAAGGTCTTGCTAAGTTGTTAGATTGCCCAAGTTGGGCTAAAACTTGGGATTCTGCCTGCGTCAGTTTCCCAGAGTGCTGGAATTAGAGGGCTGTGCCACATGCCCGGCTACGAATGCGTGTTTGTACGGACAGCACCGTGAGCCACATGAGAGTGACGTAGCTCTCACGTATTCTTCGCGGCTCGACTCGGGCCCTGACGCCTCCCACCTGCCAGTGCCCACGTCTCGGTGACAGAGCTTAAGCTGGCACAGACGGGGTCAACAATCATCAAGCCCTTTAAGAGAAGAGCCTGCAAATGACCTGACACTGTCAGATTCAAGCCAACCACTTACCTCCGCAGCAAATGATAGCAGCCACAAAAAGGGCGATGTCGCTGTCGTCCAGTTCCAGAGCGTTGAACTTCATGGCAAAATCAAACTTAGGTTCCATGATGTCACAGAACGGTTTCCGCAGGTTTCTGAGGAACTCGCGGGTGATAAAGCCATTTCCATCTGCTACTAGCATCCCGTCTTTGTTCATCAGCGAGGACAGCATCGTGAAGATGGCCTCGTACACGCCGTACTTCAGCAGGGTGACCTGGTCATTCAAGTCCAGGTTGGCAAAGCCCGGGATGGCCTTGGCGAACTCGGTGAGCTCGGTGACCGTCTCCACCGACATGCACTGGCAGCAGTGGAAGAAGCGGACCTCAGCCTCCTTGTTCTCAACGCCATTGGCCACCATCTTGGCCACCAGCGTCTTCTCGGCCATACACAACGTCTCCATGTCGTGGATGACAAAAGGCTGCAAGGAAAGATGCTGATGTGAGCAGGCAGCTGTGACGAGTTGTGTGCTGCTCTTGGTAGCTGGCCCAGGGCTTCTGTGTGTGCCCCACCACCCAGCCTGATGCTGCGGGGCACTCAAAATCCATGGGGAACAGTCTCCACCCTTGGGCATCTTCAAAACGAGTCTCAGAAAGTGAGATGTTAATGGGAGACTTGTTAGATAAATAAGTAAGATAATAATGGTCACTGCCTGACACTGGGTAGGGATTTCATTGCTAAGAAACTGGAGTATTTCTGGGTCCGGTGGTGCAGGCCTGTAATCCCAGCACTCTGGGAGGGCAAGGCAGGAGCACCACAAGTTTGAGACCAACCTGGGCAACTCAGTGACTTCGTGAGACTCTATTTTAAAAAAAAGGAAGGAAGGAATGAGGAAGAAAGGGGAGGTGAGGGGATGAGGATGTAGCTCAGTGCCACGGCTCTGGGCTCAATCTCTAGTACCACAAAATTTAAAAAAATCCTGGAGAACTGATTTTGGCCTTATCGCTAGCAAGAAAATATTAGCAAAGGAGCTGGGCATGGTGTATATGCCTGTAATCCCAGCATTTGGGAGGCTGAGGCAGGAGGATGGCTGTGAGTTTGAGACCAGCCTGGGCTACATAGTGAGTTCCAGGTCAGTCTCAACTATGTAGTGAGAACCTGTCTCAAAAAACAACAACAACAACAAAAACCAACAAAAAAGCAAAGTACCTTTAATATTTTAGAATATTTCCTAAACTCCTAAGTACTACAGCAATAGTACTAAGGAATTATGGTCATTCTTACATTTACCATTTCGTAACCCTTGAAGGTAACCATGCTTAACGCTGGCTGTTAAGTGGACAGGGCTGCATGTGAATATTCACTTCTCAGAGAGCTGACATTAGTGTGGACGCAGCAGTTGGCTGCTGATCTCTGCAGGGACGGAGCTGAGGCGCCCACACCTGCCTTGTCTCTCCAGAGCAGAACACTGAACGCTTCATGTGGGAGTCAGCACCCGGGCTGGGGCAAGTGCCACCTCCCGGGCGAGTGCCAGGGTGTGGAGTCGGTGCCCTGGAGCTGCTGCTCACCTAAGCCTTGGAACTCCTGGTCCTGCTGTCTTCCCACACCCCCAATGGGTAAGTGTGAGCTTGCATTCCATCGTGAGGCCCCGGCTCAAAAAACGAAGCAAGGAGGGAGAATGGGTGGGAGGAGAGAGGAGGAGGCAGAAGCAGAAGGGAGTGGGAAGAAGAGAATTGATGTTCAAGGAGATGGCAGTGCTAATTACAATTACTCTGATGTGATCGCTGTACACTGTGAACACACTGAATTGGGACACTGTACCCTGTACACAGGTACAATTAAAAAATAAATCAAGGGCTGGGGATTTAGCTCAGTTGTGCCGACGCAAGCGCAAGGTCCTGAGTTTGATCCCCAGTCCCCCCCACCCCCAGAAAAACCCAAAACTATCTAGAGGTGGGAGAAGAGCTGGAGGATTCTGTCTGGTGGGGCTGAGAACAGCAGGCACCTGATGCCAACCCGAACTCATATGTGCCAGCCTCCACATGAAGCAGCCACCATTATTCCCACCGCCCAGAGTAGAGCACCAGGGGCAACACACCCGTGTCAATGCGCCAGGATAAGAGGCCCCACACACCCCTCTTCGCAGCTGTCCCCGGGCATCACTGGAACCAGGGTAAAGCTGTCGTCAGCACTGGGCCTGCCTGTGCCTGGGCCCAAGCACGGTGGGCACGGTGGGAACGGGCCTACTCCCCATGAAGCATTCAAAGCCAGGACTTGCTGGAGCAAACAGCCAATTCCACACTGAGGAAAAGGACACTTCCAATGTTACTCCTGAACGAGTGGGAGCAAACGCAAAGTTCAACAGGGTGGATTTTTTCTCTTGTGTTTGTGGAGCTGGGGAGGGAACTCCAAGTGCCAAGCAAGCACTCTGCCACCAAGAGCACAGAATTCAAAGCCAAAGTTCTCAGTGTGTCAGGTCAGAACAAGGAAGACCAAAACGGTCAATCTCCAAAGACCCCAGGCCAATACCCATGGCTTTGGACAAATCCAAGGACAGCTGTGTTTCATAAAAAATTCAAAGCTGATTTAAGAACTAAGTCAGCTGTTGGATGGCCTAGAGACATGGCCCTTTGCGTCTGTGGAACTCCCTCCCCCGGCTGTGAATTCTATCAACCTTGAATTAAAACATGTATTTTTAAAGAACTTTATCTGTATTTAATGTGTTCCGACTCTTTCTGGTGGTGGTGGTGGGGTTGAACCTAGGGCCTTACATATTCAAGGCAGGTGCTCTGCTACTGAGCTACACCCCCAGAGCCCAGACTTTTTTTTGTTGTTCCTTATCACTAGTACTGAAATAATACAGTATAACAACTATTTAGCTAGCATTTACATTGGTCAGGTATTATAAGTGATCCATAGGATAATTTTAAGTATGCAAGAGCTGTGCTTAAGTTGTGTGTAAATACTATACTATTTTAAAAGGGTCTTCAGTATCTGTGAGTTTTGGTATGCCTGGGGGTCCTGGATCCAGTCTTTCGTGGATATGAGGGGAGGACTTTTTATGGTACTGGGGACTGAACCCAGAGCCTTCTCATCAAGCTACATCCCCAGCTCTTTTTTTTTTTTTTTAAATTTTGAGACAGTATCTTACTCAGTTGCCCTGGCAGGCCTAGAACTTGCAATCCTCCTGCCTCAGCCTCCTAGAGTGCTAGAGTGCTGGGATTACAGGCATGCGTCACCATGCCCAGATGAGTACTTTTTTTTTTTTTTTGGTACCCAGATGGAACTCTGGATCTTGCGCTTGTGAGGCTGGTGGTGCCAACACTGAGCTAAATCCCCGGCCCCTTGAGTGCTGTATTTTTAAATGATAAATGGCAGTATTTTCTCAGAAACATACTATCAGGCTACCTTACTAAAGTCATTGTCTTTTTTTCTAGAGTGCATTCAATAGAAATAAGTGTTAAATAAATAGTTTTAGGTTAAAAAGGATAACAGAACAATGAGCAAAGTGAAGCGGGGACGTGGCAGCAGCTGTGCACCGTGACTGGTCTCGAGCAACCTGGTTGCAGTGGCTCCCGAGTGCTTGGTTACAGAGCGCTTAGTCCTTGTGGTTAGCACGGCAAAGCGCGTCACGGGTTAGGGCAGGCCTGGCTACATCATTTGTAGGGTACAGGGAGAGTGTTAAGGTGGGGGAAAGGTAATAAGGGAGAGGAAAACAATATGAGAAATTGAAAAAATGGAAATAAAGTAAATGGGGAGAGGAGGAGGGGGTGAAGGGAGGGCAGGGACAAGGGGAAAAATGAGAATCAAGACCTATTATGTAAAGGCACAGAATCCCAATGATGGATGTAACTGTATTGTATACCTACCAGGAATCCCAAGACGGCTACAGCAGTGTGAGTCCCCACCTGGGCCCTTCCAGGCTCGGAGTCTGTGACCTGCTTGTGCCCAGGGAGCCAGCCCAGGCCTAACTTGAGCTGCAGGACCCTTGTCGATGGAGACTTATACAGCAACGTGTATTGTGATTCATTTTTATGAGATTACCACTTGGGTTCTGGAAAGCAGGCCTTTTTTTTTTTCTGTTACTAGGGATTGAACTCAGGACCTTGCACTTGTGAGGCAGGCGTGGTGCCACTGAGCTAAATCCCCAGACCAATCAGGCCTCCCTTTAGCAGGCAAAATTGGAAACCATCTGGACTGAAAAACAAGTGCTAACATTAAGACATCGATGTGTGTTATAACTAAAGAGAAGCTGTGTACTGAGACTCACTGGAAAATTTGCCAAACTTTGTCGGTACATGGTTTTGGTAAGGCTATTTTTAAAATCCATGCAGCTTATATTTACCTTGGGAATGTGCTTTTTATTCGCAAGTCTCAACAGGAATATGTCTGGCACTACAGCCAGCCATTGTAAATAGAGCACTTGTACAGATTATAAACAGCAAGAAGCAGAAAGCCCCAGCTTCCCAAATCTCTCCGGGCCAGGACCAGAAAGCTGCCGTCCTGGCTCCTGGCTACACCTCATGAGGACGGATGGTGTTCAAAGACGTTATGCACATGAGTTAGGAAAAGTTGGGCCACCAAGATCTTCTAGGAAAAATGGAAATGTGACTCCTTGTTAGAACTACTTTCGATGAAGCTATTTGCTAAACTCTTGGTTATGTTTTAGTTTGCTCTTCACAATAGTTCACTGTGGTACACACAGTACACAATATTGACTGTGTTCTCAGTCTGCAGACACCTGGCCCTAACACAGTGGGCCACACCAACACGGGGTACAAGGTAACACCCAGCAGGCAGGCCATCCTGTTCCGACGTGGAGCCTCACAGGTCTGATGCTGCGAAGGATGTCGGGTTCTTCTTTTGAAGCCAAGATGAGGCCCTATGCTGCTACGAGGTTCGGCTTAAAAATGTGACTCCTGGCTTTACTTTATCTTCAAATAAGACTTTCACTCTCTATAACCCACCTGGCTTTCCACATCAGCCACAACTGTTCTGTTTACAGTTCCACTCTGCGAGGGTAAAGATCTCCTACAACGGGGGATAGTTAGACTCAAGATAAATCCCAGCTCTTTTGAGCACTAAGGGGCTGAAATAAACACATGATGCCTTTGATCATTATCCACGCAGATGGGATAAAGCTCTGATGTTAGAGCTTACTGTAGCAGTGCTACATTATTTTCATCCTACACCTTGAAATTCCCAAGTCAAAGTATTCGGTGCCGAGGAACTGCCTGGTTACTCCCCCACCGAACACCCTCACACCTTCCGCAGCAGGGACAGCCAGCTCTCCAAGCCAAGAGCAGCTCCAGAGCCAGATCAAGCGTAGTGTGTATGGAAGCATGCAGGAGAGTATGGGCGTGCGGGCATGAGCGTGTGCAAGTGTGTGCACACGCATGCATGTTGGGGACTAAGCCCATCGCCATGGGAGAGCAAGCATCTCAACAAAGGCACTGACTCTCACCCAGGCTGGGCTCACACTTGTGATCCTCCCACCTCAGCCCTCACAGTGCTGGAGTTACAGGCCTGGACCACTGCACCTGGCTTCAGTGCTCCCTGCCTCGTTGTGTTGCTTCCTCCTCTTTTCCTGACACTCCTAACCCTGCAGACCAGCATAGTGACTTTAAGAAGCCCCCTTTGGAAGTCATGCTCAGAACACAGAACTCCTTCCTTTCTCCCTCAGCTCTGCATCCATTTCTGTCACCTGAAGTCAAGGGGCAGTGGGTCCCCAAGGAGCTCTGGCCCTGCCACTGCAGGCCCCACAGGTCTGACAGCTCAGGGGCTGAGACCTGTCCCAGGGCACCCATCTCCTCATCCCCTCCCTCTAATAAAACCCACCCTGCCTGTCGTGGTGGCTCACACCTGTAATTCCAGCACTTGGGAGGCCGAGGCAGGAGGATCACTGTGAGTTCGAGACCAGCCTGAGCTACACAGTGAGTTCCAGGTCAGTCTCAACTACATAGTGAGACCCTGTCTCAAACAAAACAAAGAAAAACAAAAAAACCCTGCCCTTCTGCAGAGCAATGCCACCCCCAGCAGCATCCCCTCCCTGCCCAAGTCCTTGCACCCCGATGTCCCGGGCCAGCCTGGCACTGCTGTTATCTGACAGGTCCTCAGAGCAAGGGAATGGGCTTCTGCGCTCAGCCCCACTCAGGCCTGCTTCACAGGTCTCGCTGGCACCTGCCTGTCCCTGGCTCAGTGTGCGGCACTTTGGGGCAGAGTTCTGGTCCAGGTTCGGGAGAAAATGGGTGCCTGCACCAATGGGAGTGCCCGCTGTGCCCTGCATATAAGTTCACACTCATGTGCTGAATGTTCCCCAGCCTGACCTGATCCTTATCCTCCCCCATCCCATATCAGTCCGGAGGTCAGGTGTGGGTACCAGAGTATGTGCCACTGGGGGCTCTGCTGGAACCCAGCTGGGGGTGCTAGGTGGTCCCAGACCAAGGAGAGCACATCAGGGCCAAGACCTGTTCTGCCTAACCTGTAATATTGATTATGTTTAAGACAGGTTATAAAGAGTCAACCTCACAATTGGCTTGTTTTAAAAAGCGAGGCTGGCTAAAGCTATGTGCCAAGGTCAAAATAACTCACACCCAGATTCTGTTCCACAACTAAAACTTTCAAAATGAAAAAACAATGTTCTAATTACAATCATTTTGTCTATTCTGTTCCTAACTTAAAAATGCTTAGTCTTGTCCTTTATGAGCCTTGTTTACATTAACTTCCATAAAAGCCACTCACAGCTCACCTTTAACCCAATTCACTGTCAGTAAAAGTCAGTGCCTAAAACTAACCAACGCCTTTGTCGGTTGCACTGACACCCACTTTCTGTCAGTTCTCTCATAACGTACACATTTTTCTCAGGCCTATGTCAAACGCTAGACAGATTGATATTAAAACCTAACTATACGGGTCTCAGACAATTGGTGCCCAATGTGGGGTTTAAACCACAAACAATCACCTGCTCAATAAAGCTACTCAAAAAAAAAAAAAAAAATCCACAACACAGTACACCTCACATCAAGGTCAAAAACAAATACAAGGGCCAGGAAGTTAGCTCAGTGGTGCTGCCGCCACTGGGACCTCAAAGTCCGGAGTTCAATCCTCAGTACAAAAGAAAACAAAAGAAAATCACTACCACCAATAGATGCTTCAGATACCAAAAAATAATAAAGATAGTCAACTAAGACTAAAAGATGAGATAATTATTTTGGCCCAAGCTGGCCTACAGTATTAAAATAAATGCTCAAAAAAATAAATAAATATACAAACTCACTTTTGACCCATGCTGGCCTAAAGTATTAAATGCTACAAAAGACAGTTATTAAAAACAACTTTAAAAAACGAAAAAACATGAAAAAAACCCACTCCTGGCTTTAAAAGCCCCAAAGCCAGTGCTATGTTATCAGCTTGATGCTGCCTTCAAAGGTCTAAAATCCAAAACAAAGCCCCCCCAAAATACAACTATAATTTATCAAACATCAAGAGATTTTACAAAAAAACATCATTACAAATTTTAGCTAATCAATAAATATATCTTTGTTTCAATTTGAGTTAATGTTTAAATGATATGCTTAAAACATTTCTTATACATTATAAATTCTTAAATTATAATTATAGGGTTAACTTGCTCTTTTCTACTTTTTTTTTTTTTTTTTTTTTTTTTTTTGTACCAGGGATTGAATTCAGGCCCTTGTGCTTGAGAGACAGGCAGCAGAACCACTGAGCCAAATTCCCAGCCCTACTTTGTTAATAAAAAACTCAAGGTGGGGCCAGGGATTTAGCTCAGTGGTTCCACTGCCTGCCTTGAAAGTACAAGGTCCGGAGTTTGATCCCTGGTACAAAAACAAAAACGAACTCAAGCTTACTAAGTTGGTAATGTTCTATTAATAGCCATTCAAATTTTAAAATATAACAATCTAAAAACAAAAATAAATTCAAATTTTAACAGGTAAAACCAAGTTTGTTATAAAATGTTTATAATAAAACAAAAAATATTTAAAAGGTTATAAATAAAATATATACTTTTAAAATGAAAAAAAATTTGTCTTGCTAAAAAATATAAGGATACATAAATATAAAACCAAAAGGATTAGATACACCAAAATGCAAAAATAATTTATTAAAAAATATTTATATTTGCTTGTTGGTTTCAAGTTTGTTATAAAAGATTTACATTTACAAACAAAAAAACTTTCATTTTTTCTAATTCTATAAGAGATCTCTATTAATTAACTTACAAAAAGTTTTAACTAGTCCTATTTAATTCACACCCAAATTCAGTTCCCACAACTAAAACCTTCAAATCAAAAAAACAATGTTCTGCTGGGGATTTAGCTCAGTGGTATGGCCACCTGCCTCACAAGAGCGAGGATCCAATTGTATATTTTGTCTATTCTGTTCCTATTTTCTGTGTGTGTGTGTGCACCGGGGATCAAACTCAGGACCTTTGGTTTGCAAGGTGGGCGGTGGAACCACTGAGCTAAATCCCCAGCCCTAAAAATGCTTAGTCTTGTCCTTTATGAGCCTTGTTTACATTAATTTCCATAAAAGCCACTCATAGCTCACCTTTAACCCAATTCATTGTCAATAAAAGTCAGTGCCTAAAACTAACCCGTGCCTTTGTGACACCCACTTTCTCTCTCTTAGTTCTGTCTCATAATGTATATATTTTTCTCAGGCCTGTGTCAAATACTGGACAGATAGATACTAAAACCTAACTACAGGGGTCTCAGACACTTCACAGGCCCCCCGCCACCACAGAGAGTTGCTCTCAAAATCGCTTAAGACACACAGACTGCTTGTCAGATGCCCGCTGGCAGTGTGGCCTGGTGGTGAGGGCTGCCCCTGGAGCCTTGTCCGGGCGGGCACACACGGAAGAGCAGAGATGGGGCCAGGCCTGCAACACAGCGCACAGGACCCGGGGTGCCTGCCCGGAGCGCACAGCGGGCCACTGCTGTCAAGCCGGCTGCAGGGCCCCTGGAGTGGATGTGCTTGGGCGGGGCGGGGGCCTCTGACTCGGCCATGTTCTCCATTCTCTTTCTCTGAGACATGGATGGACCCCAAATCCTAGCTGCCAGTCTGTTCCTTGTGTGTGTGAGAGGCTCAGGAGTCCCGGTTTCTTCAACTCCGGCCAAGGGAAATGATGACTGCCTGGGAGCTTTGTGGGGCTCTGTTGGGAGGTGCAGAGGAAACTCAATGGGCACTGGATACTTCTCAAGGGGCAGCTTTGTGAGAAGTACAAGTGATGAAAGTGTGCTTCAAGTCCTTAAAATCCAAGGGAGAAATATAAGCTCTCAAATGAAGCTCTGATTTCCCTGATTTAGGGTGATATTAGTCATTTCCAGGACAGACATTTTTTTTTCTTCTTCTGGTACTGGGGATCAAACTTGGGACCTTGTGCTTGCGAAGCAGGCAGCAGAACCACTGAGCTAAATCCCCGGTCCCAGGACAGAAATTCAAAGGCAAAGGCTGCCCACACTCGCCCTGTGATCCCCAAGCCTCTGGGCATGGTCTGAAGGAACTTTCTAAACTGCTTCGCCCTACTTAATAGAGAATCCACTGAAGAGGTAAAAGACTCAGGAAAAGAGAGTTTAGGTTTGTTCATGAAAGTAAGTAGCTTGTGAAATCCTTTATTTTCCTGTGACTAAAGATTCCAGCTTGAAATTCCCAATAAGGAATGCTCCACGCTACTCATTAGGATAAATTAAACCTGTTGTACCATGTCTGTAGGAAAAAGGCAAAATGTCTTCAAGGGCGGCCTCTCTGAAGGTGGCGTGGACACCTGTGAGGGGCGAGGCTGGGAGACTCCTGGGTGGGGGCAGTGGCTGGTGGGTGCAAGAGGCAGGGACAGGGACCCCTAGGGAAAAACCAGGGGAAGTTTTAGGGGAAGGACGCAAGGGCACATTTTGAGTGGGAAAGGAGCCATTTGATTTTCTGGCCTTTAAATAGAGATTCAGATAAATGCACTCAGGAAACAACCTCAGACCCTGGTGAGGCATTAGCGTGGTTATTTCTGGTGTATCTACGGCCATTGTTTATTTGTTTTTGGCACAGGGAACTGAATTCAGGACCTTGAGCCTGGCAGGCAGGCAGTGTGCTATTGAGCTACATCCCTGGCGGGGCCATTGTAAAAACCTGGTTTCCAGGAGCAGGGAGGTGAGTTCGAGTCAGAAGGCAGGGCTGCTCTGAAACTCCATTCTGGAGCCCCAGAGGGACCATCTGCATCTCCACTGTCTTCTGTCTGCCTTTGGGATGAATATTATTTCCCCAACACTGGAAGTTTCCTCAGTCATGGTCTAGGACCCCGGGACATCCTTGAGAACCTCCCCACAGGCCCCTGAGCACTCACTGGATTGTTGCTGGTCTTTCCTGCGAGGATGACGCGGGCTTTGACCTTGTTCATGTTGAAGTTCTTCAGGTAGGCCTCGTAGATCCTCTTGGCCAGGGACTTGAGGTCAGCAGTCTCAGAGTCTTCAGTGTCGTGCTCACAGGTGAGGATTTCTGCTTTGAGTTTTGCTTTCTCGGATCTTGGCATCCGTCCAAATCGAATCGCTGGGGGCAGGGTGGGGACAGGTTAATGGGAACAGAGAGAGCTCGGCAAAGTGGGGAGGAGGGGACGGGGTTGGTGGCAAAGTGACACAGGTGGGGTGAGGAAGATGCTCACGCTGTGAATTAAGCTATGAACGGAAATGCACGGGCAAGTAAAGATCCATTCTACTAGGGAGAGAGCAAAAGAAACCCCGTCAATCTTTCGGGAAATGGTTAAAGTAAAAGCTAACGCTGATTACTCATGTGTCAGTAGGGTCGCTTACTGTCATCAGAGAGGTGAAGGGGTCACAGAAGGGGCCATGGGTGACCGTTGTCATCTCCCGCGGCCCTAACACACTGCTTGTTTCAAAGGTGCCTTTATGTGGGAATGAGCATGTTCCAAAACCAGTATGACTGAATGCCGCGACACTCACTTCACAGGAATGATGGGACAGTTCTGCCACCCCAGTGATTTCCACTTAGTTTGTGAATTGTTTTTTCTTTCCATTTCTTGGGACTGAACTCAGGACCTTGGTACCGAGCTACATCCCCAGCCCTTTGAATTTTTTGAGACAGAGTCTCATTAAGTCTAAGTTAGGCTGTGTTCAAAGTTGTGATCTTCCTGCCTCAGCCTCCCAGAGTGCTGGGATTACAGGCCCAGCTACCATGTGCAGTTTTAACAATCATCCCCCACAATCTGCTGCACCCCACTGTTAGAGACATTTTTTTCCTTGAGTCTGCTCCAGTTACAAAGTGACCTTCATGTTAAATGTCACAGCAAGTTCATTAAAAAAAAATACACATTCCGTTCCACGAAACAAGGTAGGTAAACTGAGGCACAGGCCGGGACGCCGTGCCGTGCAGCCTTACCTACCATTGTGTGACATCCCGACAGAGAGGCACTTGTGGAAACGGCAGTACTGGCACTTGTTCCGATTCTTTTTCTGAATCTTGCAGCTGCGGTCGCATTTGTCGTACACCAGCTTCAGCCGGATGGTCCGCCGGAAGAAGCCCTGTGCGGGAACACAGGGCAGGGTGAAGATGCCACCGCGCCTGCTCGCCTCACCTTTCACCTAGTATCTCTTTTTAACTTTACGACATTGAGAGAGGCAATTCTTCTAAAAAGCCACGTATGACTGGGACAAACAGGAAATTTGAAATTTCATTGCATTAAAGATGAAAAAACAAATATATATGAAATAAAACGAAAAAACTAGTAAGCTAGGACAGAATTCAAAGTGATTTCAAAATGTCCCATCTGACTGGGAAGAACACAATGGCAGATTTCAAGGTCACACAGCCCTGCCTCAGTAGATGCAAATGTAACTGTCCCCTCTGCTCTCAGGTGACAGAGCCATGAGTGTGACTCGGAATGTTCTAGGAATTTTCCTAGAGAATATTAACTTTCTAAAAGAAAAAAAATGTGATAGAAGGAAACCAGCTACTTGTGAACAATTCTCTTGTTTTACAAAGCATTTAAATAGTAACTGGTAAGAAACGATTTTTACCAAGGCATCCATAAAAAGCCAAAGCTAAGTAACGATTGAATTGTGGCCCTAGAGAAAAGGCCACTTCACAAGCAGCTGTTTTTAGGTTCATGACGAGGACACTTGGAAAGGAGTCTATTTTGGCTTTGGGTCCTTTTCTTCTCTTTGCTTTTAACACATTCCCTCTGGCTTGAACGAACAGTGGTTCGTGCTAGCCCATCACGTAGTTTGAACTACTGCTGGTGCAAACAAATCTAATCACTTTTATCTGTCTGTTAACTAACAAAATTAATAAAAAGTCTATAAGTGGACCGAATCTATTTAGTTGCTTGGATTGATTACTGCCCAAATATTAATACTATTCATACCAATTAAAATTATTATAATAATTGACAAATTTATTCCATTAAGTTAAAAGAAATGTATTTGTATTTATGAATTTTTTTGAGATAGGATCTTGCTCTATAGTCCACACTGGTCCTGAACTCACTATGTAGCCCAGGCTGGCCTTGAACTCATGGTGATCCTCCTGCCTCAGCCTCCCAAGTGATGAGACTGCAGGTATGTGCCATATATTTGTGAGTTTTTTAAAAAATATTTTATACCTAAAGGTGGCGGATTCGTGCAGAGGGCACAAAACATAATACTGTGTTTGACTTTTTTTGCAGCCACAGAGCTGCCCAGTTTTTCAGACAGTCACACATGTACCACCAGTGGTTCAAGTTGGTGGGACAATGGAATTCAAACCAGAGCCACCTTGCAGTGAGACACACAGATGTTGGCCCCATCACACACACGTTAAGTCATGCCTCTGTGTGTCCAATATGGCAGGTCTCACGGCGGTAGGAATGGCTCAGCCATTTCTTGGGGCATGAAGGAGAAGTGTGGAAGAGAGAGCTCTGAATGCCAGGGGCATGATGCCCGGGCTCTGTGGCCCTGTCTCCAGAGACCTGGCCTCTGAGGCCAGGCTTGCAGGTGCAGAGTGCCCTCAGTCTGAGAATGCAGGCGAAGTAAGGCATTTCTGAATGTCAGGGAACACTCCAGCGTTCAGAAGGGGACCCCTGATCAGAATTGGTCCCACACTTGTATGCATGAGGTGACAAACCGGAGGGTCACGTTACCTAGGAGACCTGCAGGGGGTCCTCCTGGAAGGGCCACGGATCCAGGCAGCCACTGGACCACGGAGCCTCCGTCACATCCTCCTGACCCTGCTCGTCCCTGTCCAGGGACTGGCTGAGCAATGGACTTAGATGTACAAGAGGGTCCAGGTGGCTGTGGGTTGGGCAGTGGTATACAGGGAGGGATAGGCAGCAGCTGGAGCATGTACTGAGCACTGTGTGACCCTGAGCAAGTTGCTGATGTCTCTGATCACCACCCCTCCCTGGCACAGGAAATGACCGCCCTGCTCAGAGTCAGTGAGCGCTCAGAGGGATGCGGGTTGCAGCTCTCTACCTTGTATTGAAATGAAGGTGTCACTCTTACCACTGCTGCTTTGCTTTAGGGCACTGCTCAGCTATTTACAGAACACAGAGCACAATCTCTCCAGGCTCCTCTAGAGAGCCTGCTTCTGGTCTGTGCTCACTCACGCCGTTATGCAGACAGAAGCCCAGGTGCAGACTCTGTCACCCTCAGCCAGGGCTCCGTACCTTGCAGCCTTCACATGCGTGGACCCCATAATGGTAGCCTGAAGCCTTGTCCCCACAGATCCTGCATTCGATGTTCAGGGTGCCGCTGGAAGGCTCATCTGTGCTGCCAGGGACTGAGGGGTAACTGACAGAACAGGGACTCGAGGCTGGTGACAAGGTGTCTGTGGGAAAAAGAGGACATGTCCATGGAGATCCAGGGTCCACAAGCCCGTGACTAATCAGGTCTCTGAGGACAGAGTCAGCACAGGAGGTGTTCGGATGAGGTACAAGCCAGGGGACAGGTCCAGGAGCTGTCCTGAGTCAGCTGCTGTCCCTATGCTGGGCCATACCCTCCTGTCCCCCACAACGACGGTGGTGCTGCCTTCAAATCACGTGTGCTGTCGTTCCTGCCTCCTGAGCCGCACCCATTTCAGGACAGCGGCATCTTACGGGACCCTACCTGGTCCTTGAGCCCCATGCTCAAGTCTACATGCCCACATGCAACACACTAGTTCGTCTCTCTCCCTCCCTCCTGATCTGCAGCTGCTAACCCAGTGAATGGGACCAAAACCCAACGAGGAATTCACATAGGCAACACCTGAACCATCCTCTCCCTGCTGGAATTTATGAGTTATTAACTTCTTTTAAGAAAATGAAAAGAGAAACCACAGACTGCGAGAAAACATTTTGCGAAATCCACGTGATAAGACAAAGAAGCCTTAAAACAGGAAACAAGCAGCTCAATTAAAAATAGGCTAAAGACCTGACTGACAGACTGTTTCCTGAAGAAGACAGACTGCTGGCAGTGAGTGTGTGGAATGATGCTTGAGGACTTCTCTCAGGGACTAGAGATTTCAAACAACAGTGAAGTACCAGTACGTGCCTATTAGACTCATGTTCTAAAAACAAATCTGACAGCGCAAATGCTAGTGAGGATGCAGAGCTAGAGGACTCTTACCCACTGAGGGGATGTGGGGCAGAGAGCCAACCTCGGGGGACAGCTTGGCCATTTCTTATAGAACGAGACAGCCTTACAGTGTGAAAAGCTCTGCACTTCTGGTACAAACCCAACTGACCTGGAAACTGATGTCCATACAAAACCCTGCAAATAAACGCGTGGCAGTTTTATTCCTGATTGAACAGCAAACTGTGATACAGCCATTTAGTGGAGCATCGTTCAGTGTACAAAGCAATGAGGCATCAAGCCTCGGAAAGACAGATTCACCTTAAATGCACACTGTCGCATGCAGGAAGCCAGACTGAAAGGCCCCACACCCTGTGAACCAGATGCACGGTGCCTTCGTCCTGTTCCCACTGCTGGACACGAAACCCAACACCCGCAACTTAAAGGAGCAGAGGTTACTTTCGGCTCACGCTTCGGCCCATGCTCGGGGGACTCCATGGTGCAGTGCATGGAGGGAGGGCCCTGGTGGAGGAAACCGAGCTCAACCCACGGCAGCCAGGAAGCAGCGAGCAAAGAGAGGAGCCAGGGAGGGGACGCACCCTTCCAGGCCATGTCCCACTGACCTGCCTGTCCCGGCCAGGCGCTGACTCCAGCAGCAGATTAACCCACTGGTGAGTACAGTGCCCCACGCTCCATCACCTTCCAAAGGACCCTTTCCACCTCACCCGTAACACGGCATTGTGGGTGAGGCAACAGGACAGCAATGGCACGAAGGCCAGGGAGTGACGGAGGAAGGTGGGCTGCTGGCGCAGGGCCGGGGCTGGGGCGTTGTACTGGGAAGGAAGCGGGGCTTCTGAGCCGTAACTGTGGACTCTCAGCACCACAGCACGTCAAAACCTGTGCAATGGGACAGCTCAGAGCCATCTTGAATGAACGCAAATACAACAAACAGACAGAGGCTGGAGGACCCAGGGTGGGAGGCAGAAGGTGACGCATCCTTCTAACTGTAGGGGGTAAAAATCCACCCGAGTCCCAGTGAGAAACCGACGCTGCTGTGCAGGATTAGGGCCAGGAGCAAGTAGGTGACGGGGAGGGGAGGCTCCCCGCTGCTGGAGCCAGGGAGACACAAGGACGAGAAAGGGTGGGAGGGTCACCTCGTCAGCCTGGACCTGAGTTCAGCTTAACACAGAGCAGATGGCCGCACGCGGACAGACCCACAGATGGGGGCGCACACGCCTGCGAGGGCCGCGGCACGGGCGCCTCGGCCGCGCTGGCCGAGAGCCGAGAGGAGGAGATGCTCCGTGGCAACCAGAAAGAACAGCACCTGGTGCTCACAGGGCTCACGCAGTCCACCTCCTCCAGGGGACGCACAGAACCTGGGAGGGCATCAGGCCCAGCCCTCAACAGGAGGCAGAATTACCTCAGAAACAAAGGCCGCTTTGGGCCCACCTAACAGAGCTTAAAAACGAGCCCCAAGAGGATCACACATTTCCCAAGGAACTAAGCTGCGCCCCAAAACAAAGCTCAAGGATGTTTATAGGGACCCAGAACTATCCAGCACCCTACAAATTTCACAGTCTGTGGCGTCCAATAAAAAATTATAAGACATCCAAAGAGCCAGAAAAATATGGCCTACGATGAGAAAAATAATCAACGAACTGAAAGGGACCCAGAAATGACAGAATTAGAGCCAAGGCAGTAAAAGGGAGTTACTCTGATCACGTCCCACATGTTCAAATGCTACAGAGAAGACTGGACATGTAAGGTAGAGGTGAGGGTAAAAAGAACGGAGCCATGATTCTATTCATGGAAAATACAGTGTCTGATAAGGAAAACACACTTGATGGATCAGATAGCGTAGAAGGAAAGATCACTACACGGGAAGAACTAGCAGTATAAACTCCCTGACTGAAGACAAAGAGAAGTGGGGTGGAGGACAGGGCGGGGAAGGGGAGGGGAAGAGGAGGAGGAAGAGAAGAGCAGCAGGAGGAAGGAGAGGAGCAGGAGGAGGAGGATGGAAAGGAGAAGGGGACTAGCACGTGTGCGACGTGGGAGAGCTGTCAGAGGCCTCATGTGAAACCCTGTACACCAGAAACTGCAACGCATGTGGGGAGCAATGGAGAAGACCCAGCCACGTGGAGAAAAAGCCATGCTCACGGATCAGAAGGCAACACTGGGAAAAGGCCACTTCCCGTGCCGACTGCAGGTGGTACAGGGCCCCAGTCAGTCTCAGCAGGCTTCTTTGGTAGAGCTTGACAGAGTGACTTTAAAGTACGTACAGGAATGAAAAGGACCTAGGCTGGCCTCAAGACCCCTGGAAATGAAGAACAACACGGGAGGACTTATTTCAGGTGACCCCGGGCCTTCTTACCTAGCCACGGTGATCAGGATGGGGGAGCACTAGTGCTCAAAGAAACAAAGAGCTCAACGGGGTGGAGTGAGAGCCCCCTGTAATACGGTCAACTGATGTTGGACAAAGGCACAGAGACAGTTTAGTACAAACAGCTGTCTTAAAAAAAAACTGTAACAGAATAATTGCAAATGAAGAATGAAATTTTGATTCATACACAAAAATCAAATGAACGGGTCTTAGACTTAAATAGAAAACCTAAAACTTATAGAAGATGTGATCTGGGGTCAAGCAGATTTATCCTTTCTTCCTTCCTCCCTGTGGAACTGGAGATTGAATCCAGCACCTTTGCACTGAGCTACATCTCCAGCCTTTTTTAGAGACAGGGCCTCACTAAAGTGCCCAGGCTGGACTTGGACTAGGGGATCCTGCCTCAGCCTCCCAGAGTATTGGGACTGAGTACAAGGCAAAGATTTCTTAGACATGTCATAAAACACAGGACCCACAAAAGAAAAGACATGGATAAACCGAACTTCATCAAAATTAAGAACTTCTTTTTTGAGATAAGTTCTAACCATGTAACTGAGTCTAGCTTTGAACTTGCAAGCCTTCTGCTTCAGTCGCCTCGGTGCTGGGATTACAGGAATACACCACCATGCCTGGTTGAAGAATTGCTTTCTGAAAGACGCAGTTAATAGAAAAGACAAACCACGGACTGGGAGAGAATATTTGTAAAACATCTGATTAAAGCATTTGTATGCAGAATACATAAACAATTCTTAATAGTCAGTAGTAAGGAAACAATTCAATGAAAAAGTGGACAAGTTGGGCTTGGTGGTGCATGCCTGTAACCTCAGCCCTCAGGAGGCTGAGGCAGGAGGATTGCCTTGAGATTGAGGCCAGTCTGGGCTAAACAGTGAGTTCACAGCCAGTCTCAACTACATAGTGAGACCCTGTCTCAAACAAAACAAAGCCAAACAAAAATGTGGATAAAACCTTTGAATAGAAACTTTACCAAAGAAAATGCAGAGCAAATAAGGACAGGACAAGAAGCCCAATGTCACTAGTCATCAGAGAAGGGCAAGCTAAATCTACCCCAGGGGGACACCGCCACACCTGCTGGAATGACTCAAGTGTCAAAGGCTAACGACAGCCCCTGCTCGTGTGGGTGTGGATGAACCACACACACTGCTGCTGGGAATGGAAGCCCTGGTACAGCACTTTGGAAACAATTTCGATAATTTCTGGAAAAATTACACAAACGTCTGCCCTATGTCTCAGCCACTCTGATCCCAGGTGTGTCTACCCAAGAAAGACAGAAGTGGATGTCCGCCCAGGGACTTGTGTGGAAATTCCTGCAGCCCAGTCGGGTAACAGCCTGAGTTGAGTGTTCATGGACAGTGCCTGGATAACCGCCGAGATGTATCCTTGCATTGGATGAGGACAGGGAACCACAGACGCGCACCGCAAGGCAGGCGGGCCCCTCCCTGCTTTTACTGAAGGAAGGAAGCCCAGGTAGGGAGCACGGTTACATAAAACTCTAGGAACTATACACTAACCTCTGTGGCTAGGAAGGAGAGCCATGGCTCCGTGGGGAGGCAGCACATCCGATCATATACTTTAAATATACACAGCGCCTTGTATGGCAAGTAGATGTTAATAAAGCTGGGCGGAAAAACTAGGAGGAAAAAGCCATACTGACTCAGCACAGTTCACACAGGTCCCTCTACACGAGCAGTTTACACAGTTTAGGTGAAAGATCTAACTTACAAGTGAGAAGTCATTTTAATCTCATCTCTTAATTAGCCAGTAACAATCACACAGAAAAGCCTGGAAGGAGGCAAAACAAGATGTGCAGAATTTTGAGATGATTCCACCCTCAGTAATATGTGCCATGTGTGGCCACTAAAAGATCTCTGAAAGCAGGAAGAGACAGAAGATAGTTAGGACGAAACACGCTCTGAGCCAAGACGCCAAGGTGAGGGCCCCCAGGAGATTGTCCCCGTGCCTCGTAGCTCAGCCCTGTGTACCCCTGGTTGGCCACGTGCAGGCCGCTCTCCCATTTGGTCCCAACCCCTCCCTCTTCCACCCAACGCCCGTTTCTACCGGAAGTGCAGAGGGTGCGCTTGCCCTGGGCTGCCTTCGGTGGTGCCTAGAACGTTGAGTGGTGCCATGATTTCTCCCGCGATCCCTCGGGTTAACCAAGCAGACACACATCTTACTTCCATAGGCCTGTCATGCCTAATACCCAATGTGGTTCTTTTATTTCTCTTTTGTGGTACTGGGGGTTGAACCCAGGGCTTTCCCACTGAGCTGCATCCCCGGCTGCCCCTCCCATTTTTTAATTTTTTCTAAATTTTGAGACAGGGTCTTGCTGGGTTGCCCAGATTGAGTTTGAACTTGGGATCCTCCTGCCTCCTCCTCCCACAGTGGTGGAATGATGGGCATGCACCATCTCATCTGGCTTGATGTTGCAGTTTTTAATGTGATATAGGAAGCAGGAAGATGGTTAATATGACTTTCCAGATCAAAAAAGGAGTCATTTTGTGACACTAGGAGTCTCTGGGTTGAAGAAATACACACTTGAAGTATTTAAAAAACACAGCCACCAGCCAGGCGTGGTGGTGCACGCCTGTAGTCCCAGCACTCGGGATAGAAGCAGGAGGATCGCTGTGAGTTCAAGGCCTGTTTGAACTGCATAGTGAGACCCTGTCTCAAAAACAAAACAAACACCAACAAAAAACCCAGCTGTCTGCCTCCACTGAGTTTTAGGCATTACCCACCCTACACATGACATTTACAGGAAGGAACCCATGAGACTCAGTTCTATGGCACCAGCCGTGATGCTTTCAGGTCCAGATGTGTGGCTTCATATTTCCCCAGAGGAAAACGCTTCCAGATGGCCTTTCCGGGAAGCGGGACACTCACCCGTGATGACGGATCCATCCGAGCCGGGGCCGCTCCCCAAATACTGGTATTCTGTGAAACCAAAGCTCCCGGAGCTGTCCTCACCGAGGGACTGGGAAATGTCCTGGATGGTTCCCATTTCTTGTAGGAAGTCCTCAGACAGTGGGCTATCCAGGTCCTCAGCCTCCAAGGGGGACAGGGGACACATGGGGCTTTCCATGTCCACCATGTTGGCGGGGTGGAGCCAGTCGCGCCACTGAGCTCCAACCTGCGGGAGGAAGGCAGATAGGTGAAGCCAACAGGCAAGGACATGTGTTTTGTTCTTAAAAGGAAAGAAAGATCACGTACTGTGGACGATACACCTAAATTCAGAGTCTAAATGGTGTTATTATTATTGACCACCTTTTCTACACGTGACTCTTGGGAAATAAACTAGGAAAAGGAAGTGCTCTCTTTTTTTCCCCCCAGTACTACAGATTGAGTCCAGGTCCTCTGCACTGAGCTACATCCCCGGATCTTTTTAATTTTTTATTTTGAGGCAGGGTCTCACTGAGTTTCCCAGGCTGGATTCAGGCTTGGGTTCAAGCTCCTGCTCAGCCTCCCAGAGTACTGTGTTGCAGGTGTGCATCATCATGCCTGGCAGAAAATGCAGGATCTTTAAGCAAAACAACAACAACAACAACAACAACAACAAAAATATAAGGGGCAAAACCCTATGAACCCAGAAACCATTCATTCCCCTGACTATGAGCTCAACCCACAGCATTCGAGGTGCTGAGCTACAGTCATGCACAAAAACAGAGTCCCTGAGGTCATGGAGTGTCAAATCTACTGGGGGCACAAACGGGAACAAAGGAGTCAAAATAAGTAGAGGAGTCTCTGGTTGTGATAACGTGACACAGGCAGGAGTGAGGAAGAGTAATTTTATCTGGGAGGCCCTGCTGACTGGGGGCTAGAAGAGGCTCGGGGAACGAGGCCTCAGGTAGCCGTTTAGGAGTCCTGTGGCAGAATGTTCTGGAGAAATGAAAGCCAGGCACTAGGGATGCTGGAACATCCTAGGCACAACAGGCAGGCTGATGGTCTCAGGCTGAAAGGCCCAGGGAGAAGAGGCCCAAGCAGTCAGCCAGCCATCATGGTACATACACTTTTACCTTGAAGGCCTACTTGTGCCCATGAGAGTACATTTCCCATATGGGTACAAGGACAAAATGGTGGACCTTCCCGTGTTGGCCTGCATCACACACTTGCCCTACCATCTCAAACCACTTCCTATGAACCCAGACAAAACTGTCTCCTCAGCCCAGTGTTCCAGCCCTTTGGAACTCATCCCCATTTGATTGTGGCTGGCACCGCACCTCCACCCTGTAGGGATCCAGTGGCACTGAGTGCCACCGTGTCACAGTTTCTCCTCAGTTCCTCTGCCCAGTCCCACCTGAGGAACTGCCCTTGCCACTGCTGCCTTCCTACAGGCCTGCTTCCTGTCAGCTCCTGAGCTCACTGGCTCACCAGTCCTCTGGGGAGGCTGACCAAGTGACCCTGCGCTTCTGGACTGTCTTCCCATCTAGTCCTAGCGAAAGCTGCCGCTCACCTCACAGAGAGGGTCAGAGAAGGCGAACGCGGCCCTGGGTTTGGGCTTAACGTGAGGCAGCTCTGGGCCTGTCATGACCACAGCGCCAAGTGACTCTGGTCGGTGAAGGACACTTTCCACAGCAAATGTTCACCTCCTGAACACATCTGTGTAGGGACAGTTACGTCTCAGGTCTGCTTAATGTAAAACACAGCTTCTTTCAAGAGCAAACACGAAGGGGTATGCGGCTTCCTCAAGAAATGGAAAATGGGACGAATTCAGACATTTCTGTGAAATTCACAACTCCTGTTTGGAATTCTGCCGAATTATCACAGGCGCCAATAACACATGAGCAAAAATAATGGAGAATCATTAACCTTCTATAGGCTCTAGAAGACTTTGTCATCTATTAGCAAAATCAAGCCGCACATACATGTGTTCTTGCCTCTCTCGGGTGCAGGAAGTTGCTGGGGCTTGAACACAGGGCTGGGCACGAGCTAAGCTCAGCATCCGCCACTAAGCTACACTCTAGCCCTTCTGCCATGCTCCTCTGCATTATATCTGAAGGCAGACTTCAAAGAGTGAACACAATCATGGGGTAATAAACATTACTTAAATTAGTTAAGTACAGAAAGTTCAAAGCCACACTCACTAACTCACGATACTGGCCATAAACTTCATCCTTGAATGGCCAGGGCTGTGGCCACCCCTTTTCTTATCCATTCTGTGTCCTCAGCATCACAGTGGCCTCCCACACCCACACATATTCACTCCCCGAGCCGGAACATCTAATGTGGCAATGCCAATCTCCTTGTCACTACCTTTGGGGTGATGGAAGTTCTGAAATCTTACCACTGGACTTTTCAGCTTTTTTTTCCTTTTAAAGAATAACCGAGTGAGAAACATCAGCCTAGCCATTAATGAGCTAAACAAGATAAGATCCATAGGTAGAGTGAGGCAATCAGACTGAACTCTGGCTGCTTCTCACACACACTGCTGAGCATAGCGGCCTTTCTGTTTCCAACCACAGCAGATGAGCGCCTTTTCCCTTTGAACCAGGATTGCCACCGCCTGCTTCCTGGAGAACAGCAACCAGGCTGGGCAGTTCTGGTGCCCCCTGCCTCACACATCCGGAGGGACAAAGAGGAAAGCGCAGGCTCCCCTCTGTCTGCAGCTGCTGTCTGGCTCTGGAATTGGGTCTTCAGGTCTTAGTAACTGAACATTTATCAATGAACATATCCCTTCGGGAAGTATGAAGCAGGGTAGTTGAAAAGCTCTGAACATTAAATTAAAAAGAAACATGCACACTCAAGAAACAGTCTGACTCTTGTTTTGAGAAACCTGATCAGGGCAGGTGGGAACCTAAAGGAACCCGCACCTGTGAACGCACACTCAACTGACTCTTGTTTTGAGAAACCTGATCAGGGCAGGTGGGAACCTAAAGGAACCCGCACCTGTGAGGAACCCTGAACACACAGCTCTTAGACGTGAGGCTGTTTGGAAGTCTGGGTAAGAGGGGCTGATGGCGAAATGAGTGCCAGTGTCCCGAGGTCCCGGGGCTTCTGTGTTTGTGCCCCTCAGACTGCAGGCTGTGAGCTCAGGGAGGCTGTGTTCGCCTGATCCCCCACCCACACTTCCAGGACAGCCCTTGCTGTGGCTCAGCACAGAACGGGCCCTGGAGAATCACCTGCGCCTTGCGAAACCAGGCGACTGTCTATGAAGGCAGCCGCGGCCCAACACCCGAATGGCAAAACAGCTGCGAAGTGTGTCCAAAGACTGCAGACATGGCAGGCGCGACAGAGGGATTCACACGGGGAAAGTCATCGGAAGTTTGCAAAAAGAATTAAAATCACTGCAGGGGCCAAAACAGCATGAGAAAGGAAACAAAAAATCAAAGCATAACACACCCACAAATGGTGGCACAACACAACAGCCAGGTCCCAGGAGGCAGAGAGCCATGTGGGTGGGGAGAGGGCCACTGTGTCCCCCAGGCTGGCTGCGGCACCCGGCACATAGTAGATACTCATTAAATGCAAAGACAGGTGGTAAGGAGTTGTGGTTATGTCTGACTCTGCCTTAGGAGCCACAGAGGAGCGTGAGAGGAGGCTCCCTGAGGGGCTGCGAAGAACCAAGACATTTCATCAGAGCCAGGGGCAACAGCATGGAGTGCAGTCCCAGCTGAGCAAGGAGCTGAAGCAAAAGGATCATGAGTGTGAGGCCAACCTGGGCAAACACTGAGACCGAGCTCAAAGAAAAATTTTTTTTTTGCCACTGGGATGGGATAAGAGAAGATAAGAGAGGCAAGGGCACCTGCTGCATCTAACACAGCTTCACAACCCTGAATTACTGCCGAGTTTCCTAGACCTACAAGGAACTTGGTAAATATTTTCTGAAATTACATATAAAAATAGCAGAGGTGGACGTGGTGGTGCACGCCTGTAATCCCAGAACTCAGGAAGCTGAGGCAGGAGGATCTCAGTGAGTGTGAGGCCAGCCTGGGCTACACAGCCAAACCTTGTCTCCAACACACACACACACACACACACACACACACACACACACACACACACACCATAAATAGCAGAGAGCTTGACTCTGTCAGCTATGAAAGCAGTTTTGCATGTTATGTGATCAGATGGAACTGGGCTTGCATTTTCGCTCTCAGAACTTACACTTGTAGCAACACAACCACATCCAGGTAGATGGGCACAGACATCAGCCTCCAGCTTTTCTCTGCCTCCCTTCTGCAGAGTCCCTCCATGGTGGAACCATAAGACCCCTCCGCGGAGGGTCAGCTCACACGCATAACAACACACCCCACCGAACCCCTGCAGGGCTTCTTGCACAGTGGAGTCTGAGAGACTGCAAGAAGTTTAAAGGTGAAAGATGAGCCTTCTCGAAGGAGCCACCCTGACAGAGCAGACAGACAGCTTCCAGGTTGGGTCTTTCTCTTTCCCACCCATTCTAATCCACTCCCTTGTCAGATTCTGTTGAGTGTTTTCAGATAGAGTGGACCTTTGACTTACCGCCGGCCTGACGTGTGAACAAGCTGGGTTACGAATGGAATTTTAGTTTTAACTTACTGACCAAAGTCTTGAGTTACAACCCAAATGCCTGCCACTTGTGCTTCCAGATGGTCTCAGATACGGGGTTTAACGCTTAAAGAGTTCTGGAAGGAACACGACAGCATCCTTTCCTGTGTGGGGTTAATTGAGAAATCCTGGGCCAGGGTCTAAGGACACTGCAATCTGCCTGGAAAGAAAGTGTGGCCTAAAATTATACAAGACAGACTTTGAAGGCTGTGTAGAGGAGCCTGAGCCTCTTGAGTTACAACCAGCCCCGGGGAATGAATTGATTACCTAAGTCAAGAGCCCACTGAATTACATTTAATACTTACAAGTCTTTGGCTCAGTTTTTCGGGCTGGGATCTAACAATGTTTCAGAATAAATAAACAGATTTTAAAAAAAGCAACAATGCTCTCTGTACCTTCACCAAGTACCCAGGGTTCTCAGAGTCAGATTAATCATTACCCTCACAGATGATCAGCACACCGCAGGCCATTTCCACGTCTCAAAATAGCGCAGACAGGGGACCAGGGTGATGGGGAGGGAGCCGGGACCAGGTGTAGAGCAAAGCAAATCTAATTCATCGCGAATAGTTTGCTAGAGATGCCAAGATCTTTTCCAACAACGCTGCTGGC